TGAGATGAGTTTCTGATTATTTAGCAAACTATCCTCCAGGATTCATGAATTTCAAAAACCCAACATAGACATGCCTCATCTATTCAGATCTCAGTCCCCATCCCTTGAGAAGAATAACTGGGATAAATATTCCACAGATTTATCTATTCCTCAGGACTTATCCCAAGGGATGTAAAAGTTTTCATTAATAGGCTTTTGTTTCCTACAATAAAACGAGTTTCTAGAATTCATTTTATTAAGCTCTTCTTTTCCCCAAACCAAAAGCAAAAGCATCTGTTTTCTCCAGCAAAGTGAAATATCAAGAAACCAAGGTAGAATGCTAAATCTAGAAATGGCAAAGCAAATCCAATGCCTACTCAGACAGTTCTATTTCCTCCACACTCAGGACACTTGTTTTGCAGCTTTGGCAAACTCACTTGCAGATTTTTCATAACAAAAAGAGTTTTCTTTAGGAGGTGGTGAGTGTGGGAGTCTCAGGGGAGGGGCAGCTCTGCCTGGCTTGAGTTCTCTTTTGTCAGTGGAAAGTCTCCTTTGTCCTCTCATGGTTGCAGAGAGCAGACTCACAGTTTGAAACAGCTCCTGGCATTTCTGAGGCTTCAGTTTCACCCTGAAAGGTGCAGCCTGGCAGGACCCACTGAGGAATGCATTGGCTGCACAAAGGTGGTACCACACACCAGGCAGTGTGACAGCCTCCACATGGCTCTCAAACACAGCAAGTACATTTTGCAAAGCCTGATGCCAGTGCTCTATACTGCTGCAGTGGGTTTGGATCCAGTATTTCTCCTTCTCCTCTGAATTCCCTTCCACTGACTGATATCCGATTCGAGATCCAGTATCAGAAATCAATGCTGCAGGAATGCTACTATAGTATCTGAGTATTGAGAAAAAAGAGCCTTAAAAAAATTATGGCTCACACAGGCTCTTTCTCTTTGCCAGAAATACTGACAAAACCAAGATTTGACTGGAGGTTCAGTCACTGTTCTTGGTGCATTCCTGCAGAGGCTGGAACAGCCTCTTTCCTCCTCGCTGCTGGAGAGGAATCTGTGCAATGCTCAGTGTCACACCCTGTCAGTATTGCATGGATCAGTGGTGAAGAGAAGGAAAACTCTTTGTTGGTTCAGCAGAACCACTCTTAGTTCCCAGCATAATTGCCTCTGAGACTCCTTATGTATTTGTACAGAACTGTCATGGAATAAATGCAACAGACACTGTTCAAACTCATTTTCATCCTCTTTTCCCTGCAGGTTTTTTTTTTGTTCCATATGACTATATCCACTAGAACCACTTGTTCACTTTTTCGTCCATAGCTGGCCATTTTATTATTTATTCTTAGCCAACAGTATTCAGCACAGGAACAGGCACCTGCTTCAGATCCACCACATCAATCCATTCATCCTCCCTGGGCCCTTATAGAGTTATCACAGCCTGTAGCTGCACCAGCTTAAAGGCAAGATAAGTCATTCAATGGAGAGCAGCTTCCTACAAATGATTTATAGCACTAGTGTCATTTTTGAACAGAATGGCCCAGACTGCATTTATTTTGCCATGATTACAGGAAACATGTCAAGGTACTCACATTTTTTAAAAGCTTAGAACATCTGACAGAAAAGTGCTCTGGGTTTGACACTAAGGAATCAAGAATACACCAAAAAGAGAGAAATTTCACTTCTGTAACAGTCCAATACTTTAACTGAAGAGACTGTGCACACATATTTCTTTGTGTCTTGACCTGAGTCTGCAGTTTTGAGGTAAAGAGAAATACAAACCAATTGCTTTATTTTATTTTTTCTGAAACTGCAGTGCTGTTCGGAGGAGGGCTTAGTCTTAGCAAATCTGAAATTTTGACAGTTATGTTGAATCTGCAACTTTTCATTCTTTGTCTTTGTCATTGAACTTATCCTACTATGCAGCCTAAAGACAAACTTCAATATTCTTCTTCATCTAGAGAACAAAGCTGAGCTGCAAGCAATTCCCTGCTGGTCCCAAGTTTTCTGCTGTCTTTCATTAAATGTTTGTGATTTTCTTTCTGTCCTGCCATAGCTGTTGCAGTCTTTTTCTGTTCAATATTTTATTTTCCATGGTAGCTTTTAACCAGTCTGTTGTCTTTACTTTTGTATTTTTATACATTCAATAATGCATACAGGCATAATTATACTTGCAGCATAATTACATTTTGGTTGATTATACATGCCACCTTCTTTTCTAATTATCACAGACACCAGACTGTAATTCCTTGTTTCACTCAGGGCTGTGAGACACAGAGCAGCACTTAGAGACACAAAGTTCTCAGCTTCCATCATTCTTGACAGCAGCTGCTTGATATCTGATGGGAGAAGCTGAGACACGGAAATGTGTTGCAATTTGTCCAAAGGGTGACAGAGGTGGAAACAGAATCAGCATCTCCTGGTTCTTAGTCCAGTTTCCCAGCCCCAAGGTACCCTTGTAAGCAGGTTTTGGTATGCCCATAATAAATAAACCCCTAGAGTGAAATCCTTAATGTAATTTTAATAACTAAATACAGTCATTAATAAATTACCAAAGAGTTAAATAGCAGTTATTTTTTACCTCATCATCAGGTTATTAACCCATTGCTTACTTTGATAGTTTGAAATATGCAAGAAAAAGTGTCTGAAAAGGGAATACAGTGAAGCACTGCTAAAACAATATATTTCTTTAAGACTTCCAAATCCCCATATTCTGTTTCAATAGTAGACCTGGGAGTAGGAGCAGGATAAAAGAAAATAATGGAAATAAATCAGTATTAGTAACCACCTCTGCAGACAGTGAAAAAATTGAAGCTGGCCAGAGGTATCTTTTGAACTCATCATGGGCTTTATTTCTCTCCTTTTTCCACTGTCCTCCTTACATGCATTCTGCCTTTGTGTCAGTTCGAGTGGTTCTCAAAAAAAAAAATTATAAATTGGTGTTTTCTTGCTTCATGTTGAGAGAATTCTTATTTTCCTTTTAAATTGAGCACTGTAGTAAATGCCTTCTTGCCTTCTTTTTCAGCATTTTACAAACAAAGGAAATAGACAATTCCAGGAAGAAAGCACTTGCATGTCTTAGCCTAATTCCTCAGAGCTCTATAGACCCAAAGTTTTTCTCACTCCACTGCTTAGCAGTTTGCAAGGTTTGCCACCCACATTTTGCAACATGAGTTTCCAAGCACTGCAGTCTTTTCTCTTGATGCCTACAAACACATCAGTCTTGTACCAGCAGCTCAGATCCCGAGATGTTTCAAGTCTCAAGTTGAAGTCTATTGCTCTCCTGGTAGTCCCTTGGATCTTTTTTTAAGATCTTGTTAAAAAACCCCAAACAACAAGCAAACAAAAACACCCCAAACCAGCAAACGACCAACATCATCACATCCGCTGTCTTCCATGGTGCCAAGACAGTTTGAAGAGCTACACTCTCCATTCATCTGTGCAAAAATTACAATTTTCTTAAAGTGCTTAGGGTGAAAATCCATTGTCTTGATGCTTTGTCAACATTAATTTAGGCAACTGGTTTTAAAGCTGTTTCAATGATGTTTTAATTGGAGATGATGGACAAATTTCTCATAAGGAAAGGAATCTTCCTCAGCTCATTGAACATTGGTGAAGATAATACATTAGCTTTTCAGCTGGGGACTCATATTTTCTGTGCTATCCTCTAATAATTCACTCATACACTGACCTATAGATTCAATGGTATCCATTGAATTTCTGCTGCACTTAAAAAACTTCACCAAAAATGCTTTTGGCAATTTGTTCCTCTAATTTGTTGTTTTCAGTCTCTCTTACAGCTTTTCATTTAATGTATCTGCCCTTTTACACAGTGTTCCCTTTTTTTTTTTTTTTTTGCTTTAATAGCCTCCCCTATTCATCTGTTTAATTACAGTATTTTCATGTCCCATCACATTCTCTTCTGATTGTTCAGAAGTATGGTGTCTCCATATTGTTTATGCCACCTGGAAGTATTTAAGGCTTTGAAATTGACCTTTAAATTTAATTTTTGCATGCTTTTCCACTAATGACTATTTCCTAGGTATTCTATACTATTTGCAAAGTTGGGATTTTTTTGGGGTATAGCATATATACCTTTTATAATTGCTGTACCAAAGAGCTCTTCCATAATGTCTCTGGTGCCAAGTCTTGGTGCCTTTTTGAGGAATACTATTTCCCATTTTGAGAAAAAAAAACCAGAGAAAAAAATCCTTCAAAAAAGTAGCTGTTCATGTTTCCAAAAAAAAAAAAAAAGTTTCCCACAACATAGCATAGCTTCCCCATGAATCTTTACATCTTTTCTGAAAGTTACATCTTTACACAGTGTTTGGAGGAAACTACTGAATATGACATGAATCATAGTAAAATCACAGAGATTGCTGTTGAGCAGAAATGCTGAGAAGCTCATTGATAACACAGTTGGTGGGGACTGCATGTGATTCTAGGGCTGTTGCTGTTCTCCAGAAAATTATGTCAAAAGAAGAGAACTTTGCAGTCTTTAAGCATAGGATTTTGTTGCTGATGTTCCTTGACACCACTCATGAGGCTTTGATAACATGAAGTAATAACAAGAGGAATACTGAAAATACTTTCATCTCATGTTTTTTTTTCTCTTTTACTGATGAGAGTTACTGATAATTTTGTAGGACAGCAGAGGGGAGCAGCTGTTGTGTGCCCAGTCAGCAGCTTCCATCAGCCTCCAGCTACCTGGAGGTTTTACCAAGTTGCAGCCTGAGCAGAGGTGCTAAAACCAGCACAATCCTGTGCTGGCTCTTTATGGCAGGCATTAAGGGCAGCAGGATTTGTGAAGATCTAATTGCCCATATTTAGGAGGAAGCAATCATCAGTGTTTAGAGGAAATGGCAGCTATGAAGCTCAAGCATTGAATACAGGTGAAATGATGCAAGAATGCTTTATACCAGGAGGATGTGGCTGTCCACAGGGCAGGCAGCAGCTGTCCTTCCAGTACAGCTACCTGCACATGACAGCTCTATCCATGTTTTTAACCTCTGGCAGGTTGAGAAGACAGCAGGATCAAAGTGGACAGACTTCCAGCATTGACAGCAGAGCATCTCTCCAGAGCCACGAGAAGCTCCAAGACGGGAGGAACAACAATTTGCTGGGACAGGGCTGCACCAGGGGCTGCAGCAGTTAGTGAGCCCAGCCTGCTCCCACACAGGCAGGGAGGGGGGATCCTCTCTGCACCCCTTTCCCTGCTCCCCTGCATCCAGCCTGGCCCATCCAAAACAGGATCCCTGGCCGAGGACAAACCCGCACAGCACACAGGCTGAGATTCTCCACGTCCAACTCTGCTCTCCTCCTGACTCTGCCCCTGGAAAAATGACCATCAGCAGCAAAATACAGTTTTTTAAGTAAGTGTGACTTTTGTTTTCAAAATCCTGGAAGAAAACTTGAAACAATTCATTAGGCAGCCTCTCAAAGATTGCCACATTCCTGGATATTTGCAAGAGACAACTGGGGCCAGCTTATCTTGAAGGCTTTAATATTACCCCCAATCTCTCTGTTAATTAAAACAGTCCAGTTTGAAATTTTGTGAAACTGCTGGACACAGCTGTCTCTAAGCATCTGCTGTTGAGTTTATAACAGATGTACATGATGTAAATACATTAATGTAGTGTCAAATAGGCCAAACACTGAATAATTTCATTTAAATACCTGAAACTCATTGAAAAAGTTGCAGTGTAAGTGTATTCACCTTGTTCTTTAACATCCTGTGTTCTGCTCTGTAGTAAAAGGTGTGACCCTGGCCAAGTCAAAGTTTTGCTAGTGACTTTAATGGATGCAGGATCAGAAACACCTTTTTATTTGTAGCAAGAGGCTGACTGAGCCAGAGCTGAAAAGCAGCTTAGTAAGGAGAGCTAAAAACATTAAGAATTTGCTCAGATCCATAGCTAGGTGTTATAAAATGTTAAAAAGTTACATGTGTCTCTGTTTTCATGGATCTATTCTGGATGAAACTATCTTGAATAGAAAGAAATGTACTTTAGTCAAAATATTGCTGACATGAAGTCCTTTCATTTTAAACAGCAGCCAAAATTCCAAACATTTATGATATTTTACAACTTGTACATCCACATTTTTATAATAAATGCATGTTTATTCTGTCCCATTGTGCTTTTGTTTTGAAGGGTTACCACCTGTAAGCAAATTTCATTTCAACTTTTTAAAACAATTAGGTTAGGGTTTTGGAAGTGAGAAACATTTTATTTGAAATAATCTATTTTTACAGCATCATTTCCATTCTTTCAAAAAAAATGTATTTGTAATTGAATCTATTGTAAATTTTGTTTCATGTTATATGTAATTTTGGTCACAACTTTTTCACAAATACAGATTTTTATCACTCCATGAAATGTTACAGTGTTCCACATCATCAACAACAAACAGTTTACAAATGTACAAAGGTAAAGATTTTATGTCTGTCACAAGCATGGTGTTGGTCTTCTTTCTTAATTTGGTCATAGACTGAAATAATCATACAATCAAACAAAGGAGCAAAATTTTTCTGGTCATAAGATGATAAATTTCATCACCCAGAATAAACTATTTCCCATCCATCCTTTCTTTATTTTTTTTTTTTCCTTGATATTAGTTTTGGGAAGGACCAAACTAGATAAGATTTCAGATTATTTCTGGAAACACCTATTTTTCTGTTCCAATCAAAATGCATGGTGATCTTGGACCTTGATCTGGATCTGAAAGAAATTCTTTATTTTGAGCAAGAAGAGCTGCTCTGGGTGATTTTGTACACCAACCACATATGATGCCACAGTGCTAGCACCTTAACTGAGGCTGGGAAGGCATTTTTGAAGTAAATGTCCTAACCTTACAGCCCTACTGCATTTTGGTACATATTTTAGCACCCAAATCAGATGCTTTTTGGATGACATAACACCAGAAGATGTGTTCCATGAGAGCACTTATTGCCTTTTTCCCAGTCTTGAGCCTGTAGACCACAGGAATAGGTGAGAGAAAATCTGAAATGGAACTTCCCCAGATGTTTCTCATGTGGATGTCAGGTCAGCAGAGCCTCTCCTGTCCAGCTGCACTGTCAGCCAATGCACACACAGCCCCAAAGAAGCCTGGGTTTATAGGATGGAAGTGGTAAAATGAAAGAGCTACATAGTGCAAGACCATCAGTGATTGCACTAAAAATTGGAGGAATTTACTGCAGATAGAATTTAATTAGCAGCAGGAGTCTACCAAATATTTGCAGCCTGCTCTGTCTCTTGCTGGGTGTATTTGCCAGTGCCTTACTGAGCTGGTTTTGAGAGTAGATTGGCTATTCAATAGATTGCATCTACTTAAATATATTTGCACAGAGTACTGTGCATGAATGCAAGCTCACTCAGACACTTTAATTTCACGCTTGTTGCCCCACGATCATTTCCCAAACTGTGCTGCTTGCAAAAAACTGAAATCATGGCACCAATCAGCTTTATCCATAGTCCATGGCACTTCCACTGACTGAAGCTCTACCTTATGCTGCATATAATTATCTGTGTCAACTTATTACACAGATCAGTGAATGCCCTCAGTTATACCATGGAGACCCAATATTGAATCAAAGAATCATGGAATGGTTGGGGTTGGAAGAGACATTTAAAGGTCACCCAGTCCAACTCCTCTGCCATGAGCAGGGACACCTTCACCTAGATCAGGTTGCTCAGAGCCCCATCCAATATGGCCCTGAATGCTTCTAGGGATGGACCTCTGTCGTGAACGGCGGAAGAATTGCTTCACACAATATGCGTGAACAGCAAATCTCAAAGTTTATTGATAGCTCACACATATTTATATTGGTGTTAATGAAGCTTATACATATTGCAAAAGCTGAGCTCATTATTGGTTAAAGCACACTTAGATCAACCACACCTACTTCTATGCTCTAATGATTATTTTGTTTCTATGTTTACATTCTTCTAGCTTCTCTACCTAGGCTATCTTCATTTTCTGGCAAGCGATTTTCTCCCCCATCTTCCCGTTTCAGCGAAGGTCACCATGACCTCTGTCAGTGATTGGACACTGGTTACTTAATCCCCAGCTTGTTTCCCCTATCCTTATCCAACAGTATCACATCGAAGTGGCCTTTCTCAGCTAGCCAATTATCCAAAAAGCTCTCCACATTTCCCCCGTTTTTCTGTTGAACAAGCATGGTTTGATTAAACACTGTAGCTACCATCTTTTGCACCATATTCTGTAAGCATATACAAAAACATGGCAAAATTAATACTAACAACAAAGCTACAATAGCTACTAAAATGCCAACCTTAACAATAGAGCATAACCATGACCCTAAGCTTAAAGATTTGAGCCACCCATCAATACCAAGGCCTGATTCTACCTGTAAGTTCTCAGTTAACCTCCGCAACTCAGAGAGCTGTGAGTGAACAGACTGTGCATGATCAGAAAGATTCATGCAACACATGCCCTCAAATTCTTCACAACCATGGCCTTGTGCAAGTAAGAGAAAATCAATTGCAGCTCTATTTTGAAGTGTTGCATGGTGAATAGAATCAACATCAAGCAAAAGACTAGAAATTGCTAAAGAAGTTGCATTTGTTTGTTTAGCAAGCCAACACCCTAACCTATTTAAAATAGCATGAGCACGTGCTGCTGATACCCCTGGAGCTAAGAACTATGGCCACTGGGGACCAAAACTTCACATCAGACCCCCATCTCTCCAGAACACCTACACTCTTATTTCAGCTTTCAACCAACATAGCTGTGAGGATCTGTCTTGCCATGGGAAGCTCTGATAATGGTGCAGAAGAAAAGTGAGAGATTATTTTTAATAGAATATGATTTGTGGGGATAGAACACATACAACAAGAAAAGTCACAAAGCCTGGAAACACACCTGAGAGAAATGCTTGGTTTAGACTTGTTTCTCCTACTTTAGATAAAAGAAAAATGAATTATCCAGATCCAGGCTCAAAAATAGAGATGAAAAAGGGGAAAAAAAGCTTTTAGGATGTGATGCACTTTCTCTGTCTTGATTGTCTGTTTTAGCAGATGGGTCTCCCTGTAGCTCTGCCTCCATGGAGTAAACATCAGTGCACCCAGCTCAGATGTGGACACGCACATTGTGCACTGACATTTAGTCAGATGAATCTGGTTTGTGATGACACAGGCAATTTGTTGAGCTGCATTCTAATCCTTATGAAAAAATGGGATCATTTCTGACCTATTCAATGGGAATAAGAGACATTAAACAGTTTTCATCCTTAAGTGCAGAAGTGGTATGAGAGTGACAAGAAAATACACAAACATACTCTCATCTGGCATTCCAGCAGAAATGAAAACAGGGAAGTCCTAAATAAGGCACAGAAGGTTTTTACAATAAACTCAGCAAGATGGAGGACAAAAAGAAAGCAGGGCTGCCCTAAAACCAGAAGAAACTCTTTGGGACTCATTTATTCTATACAGCTTTATTGTCTTGCAAAAGTGGACATTGATCTTGACTCCCAAAATCTCACCTAGTTTCTCTAAGTCATTTAAAAGATAAAAATATTTTCCTTATTTCTGCTCCAGGGAAGAGATGAAGAAGTCTAACACAGCTGGAAAAGCAGTTTGCTGCTGCCACAGTTTATTGCAGTGCCTGTTGCTCTTTGGTGTTGAAGTTCTGATCTTGCATGCACATTCCCACAGCATCACTCCACGTTAAACTCTGCCAGATTTACCTTCTGTTCAGTTTGCTCCTTCTATGTTGTGTATTAAATATTGGCACAGTACTGTAAATGTTTAATTACCAACTGTCATAAAGTACAAATGGCTCCATTCATCTGTAGTCTTGACAAAAATGATTAATGTAATATTTCCAGAAGATTTTCCTGTAGATCTGGGGTAATAGGAGGGTTGGTTGTAGGTTTTGGCACATTAAATGACAGCTAAGTACATTATAGAGGAAATAACAGGCACTGATCCATCCATTCCAGTCATTTAGATGTTTTCTGCTCATAGGAACATGTGATCACAATTTCAAACTTATTTCTGACTGTTTAAACTAAAGCTAAATAATGCTGTAATGGGGTACTGGGAAGCTGAAGTAGGCTGAATTAGACCCAAAGAATTCTTCTGTTTTCCACATGGATAGGTGTGCCAATACTTCTGCTATGAAAAATATGGCTGCCAGCACAGGAGAAGCTTAGAGGTTTTGGACAGGAACATTTACAGTTTTGGTGGGAGCTGGAAAGCAAGGAGATATTGAAAGTGTATTAACAAAAAAAGCTGCAGGTTTAATAGGCTGTCTCTGGAAGCCTCACTGCTCTAGCACTGGCCCCAAGAGGAGACCTGGGACAAACCACTGCCCTGCAAATGGTCTCCATTATTTCTATATTTGACCCAGATTTCATCCATGAAGAAGTGAGTCCATCTATGCAGACTCTGATTAAGAAGCAAAGGAAGGAAAAACCCCCCTGTCAGCAGTGTTGGGCTGCTCACACTCTGCCTTCCAGGGCAGCAAAAGGGACAAACAACAACTTATCCCACTTGCTGCAGCTGCTATCAGTCCTGCTGGGGACAGCAGGAGTTTTTCTTGCACACCCATTACAGTTCAGTCCCTTAGCACATGCTACCAACACGTCCTGTGATGGATTTTGAATGAGGGATAATGTAAAGCTTTTAGAGAACCTTCAGCTGCCACACAGAAACTTCCATGATAGACTGGTGTGATTTTTAAAGAGGAGCTTTGTGGTTCTTCTCCTGGAGAGCACAGTACCAGGTGAATGACTGATTTCTTATGCACACTGTGCTTCATCATCTCAACCTTCATCAGAGTAGTTACTTTTCTTTATCTGTATTTTAGTGATTGAATCAGCTATGCTCTGGCCAGCAGGGAAAAATGTTTTGGTATTTTTAGCCTTCATTTAGCAATGCAAATGATCTTCCTATAATCTTGTTTGTGAGAAAACACATGCTACAATCAGGACCTCAATAATGACTGATATTAGCTATGCTCCATACATCAATGAAATTGGCTCAGAGTCAGAAGCTTCCTTTTTTGTCCTTTTTAATTAGAAAGGAGCAATGTATCTAATCAATTAAACAATTTTTTTACAAAATTGCCCAACTGTCCTGGTGAGTCCTTCCAAAGATTCAAAATTGTAATATAGGACAGGGAGCTTTGCTGTTCCATGTTTGTGGGTTTCTTTAAGTCCATTAAAAACAACAAAGCAGGCATAAAAACACTACTGTAACTTTCTATATCCATTAAAGGAAACACAACTGAGAACAATCATGAAATGCAAGTCCTTCTAAAATGTATGCCAAGAATAAAGAGTTATGTAAAACCAGTGTCCTTTAAATGGAATTAGATTTAGCCACAGACACTTTCATGGGCAAAACTATGTTGGAACTAGTGCTCTTGAGAATTTTTTGTTTCTTACTATCCATTGTTTTGATGTGTGCTATAATAAAGCCCTGGAATTTTTTCACAGTGATAATTTTGTACTTGAAAAATCCCTCTTGGAAGAGTACTATACAATTTAATTATGACTTTCCTACATAGTTTTGTCATGACTATAATATTCTCCAGCCTCTGTGCAAAGGTATTGAGG